CAGTTGCATTTTGAGTGCCTTCCAACCTGAGGGACTCATTTTCCAGCAGTATATCTGACAGTGTTTTTCTGCTGTTCATAAGATTTTCAGTGACTAAATATTCGGAAGTAATTTATCACTCCTTCTTCCTAGTCTGTCTTTGTCTGGAAGCTATACCGGTGGCATAGCTTTCAGAGTCACAGCAACTCACAAGCCACCACAGTATGACAGACTGACAGATGAGTGGTGGCTGAAGTAGTGGTAGTGTTGGTTATCTGCCATCCAGTTGGTTCCGACTCATAGCAACTCTGTAGACAGTTTCTAAGGATGTAAATCTGTACCAGTGCTGAAAGCCTTATCTTTCTACTGCAGAGCAGCTGGTGGATTCGAACTACTGACCTTTTGGTTAGCAGCTTGATGAGTAACCCATGCCACCAGAGCTCCTTAGCCTGGGAGACTAAGAATCTTTCCCTTGCTTTCAGATTTTTTGTTACGTATTTAAGAGTGGTTGTGCCAAGTTCTCATCTTTAGAGCTAAGCATATCATTTGATTCTATAGTGGTTAATATTAAAACCTCTAGTTACTGTGTCATACATCATCAAATTGACAGTATCACATCAACTCGTAGGACTAGATAGGAAACTTAGGTGGCAATGAGGAACAGTTTGGAGGGTGAGGAGGCTATACACTTGAAGAATATAATGAGTGCCACTGAATTGTACATGAAGAGATTTTGAATTAGTATCTCTTCTCCTGTGTCTAGTCTCAGCAACAAAACAAAACAAAGCTCTAGTCATTGGTTTTCATAGTCAACCTATAATAGAGGACTTAATAGTAGCCAAGAGTGTGTTAGAAGCCTTGAAAAAGTCAAGTAATGTGAGGGTTGGGAGTTTGAATGGAATAAGGAGAGTGCTGATGCTCCAGATCCTTAAACAGGAAGTCTGAAAATGCTTGCCGGGCCAGGCAAGTTGGTCTTTATGTGGATTATGTTAAGCTATAATGGTACTAGGTGCTGTCTAGTCACTTCTGATTCCAAAGGACATACAAAAATCAGTTGGATTCCTCTATACCAAAAATGACAGTGTTGAAAAGGACATTAGGAAAGCGTTGGGTAACAGACCTGTGAAACAGGAGCTTACAGGGACTGTCAGAGTGGGGACTGAGGTTAGAAGGGTGTGGATGGTGCAGATGTGGAGAGGCCCTGTTTTCCTAGTGTGGGGACGATGACCAGGTCAGCAGAGGCAGCAGATGAAACTCAGCTGTCTGTTGTGGTTTTGTCCTCAATGCAGCCCGAGGGAAAGGTCAGACTCTCCAGAGCTAGTAATATGCAAAAGGAAGTAAGTAAATTGTGAAATAGCCTCAAAATGTGTTATGTAGAACAGTGGCAGGAGCTACTAGAAGAAAACTCAGGAATGATTATAGACGTGGTTATTTTTGAGGAAATGGAGATGATGTGGGGGGGAAAAGAGGGAAAACTTTATTTTTTGCTTACTGTTTGAATTTGTATTACTGTTTGCCTCTTTTATTTTAAATGAAATCAAATGAATGATACTTGAGAGATATCAGCTCCATTTATTCAGTAATTATTCAGTAATGACTGCTACAGGTCCTAGCTGTTGTTGGTAAGTGCCATCGAGTTGGCTTAGTGTGTCCAAGGAGCGGATGGCCCAGTGTTTTATCCTGCAGCACCACATCAGGAGCCCAGGCCCTAGCTAGGTTTGGCTTATTTGGTGTTTTATTTCTTTGTAACTTACGACTTTGCTTTATTTCTTAGGTTCATTGTCCCCATTTCCTGCGTCATCTGTAATGATATCATGGCTTATATGTTTGGCTTTTTCTTTGGTCGGACCCCACTTATCAAGGTAAGTGGATTACCTGGATGTGAATCATCCTGAGGGCAGGGTGGAATTTACAGATGAGTGTGAGAGGCCGAGAGGAGATCTAGCTGGTGTGTGCTCTGGCCATGTCTTTATGTTATCCTGGGGAAAGACTGGCCCAGGACAAGTAGTCATAAATTAATTGGTAGAGAAAAACCAAAGGAAAACATTGGAAATCATTTGGGGTGGGGGAGGGGAGAGCTAATAAATAGTATTTTCAAACTATATATGTTTGAGGCTTTGATCTGAATTTGAGTATTATTTATTTAACATGTTGCTGCTGTTAAGTGCCGTTGAGCTGCTTTGAACTTACAGCGCATGAGTATAGGGTTTCCAAGGAGTGGCTGGTGTGTTTGAACCACCAGTCATATGGTTAGCAGTCCAGTGCTTATCCTACAGTGCCACACCAGGACTCCATTTATTAACGTAGTGTGTTTTAACACATTTAGAGTCTCCGAATCATCAATTGAAACCTGAAGAAACTGGGGGATATTAGAACACTAGGAAACCAAGCTGGGGCCGGTGGGGAGACATTTTAGGAGGAGAGGTACTAACAGATTGGATTTTTTATAAGAGAGAGGTGTTTGTAAGTATTTTTTCCAAAGCCAGAATTATCAGGCCACCTTTGCTAAGTAAGGACTTGCTCTGTCTCCACAGCTCTCCCCAAAGAAGACTTGGGAAGGCTTCATTGGAGGCTTCTTTGCCACCGTGGTGTTTGGCCTCCTGGTAGGTGGTGATGCCTGCCTTGGTGGGTAGTAGAGAGGTGTACTTGCTGAGCTCTGGACGTCTGTCCTGCTGAATTGGTGACTGTGCTGAAGAAGAGTCGAGCATGGAGTGCCATCAACACTAGGGACAGTGCTGGCTGTCCCTCTCTCTCCTCAGTGTGCCACTCGAGGACCTGGGCAGTAGAGGGGCGTAAGGACAGAGCATGGCAGCACTGAACTGGCAACACTCTTCTAGACGGTCGATATTTCAAGGGCTGGGAGGAGTAAGGGGGAGGTGGAACGTTGCCCCCTACAAGCAGGAGCACCATTCCCTGCTTCTGGACCTCAGGCCAGTCTCTGTCCTTTCTCAGGGTAGTCGAGCTGGCTCCTCAGCATTCTTCTTCTGGCCATGTGCCCCTCACTCTCACACTGTCCTCTCCATTCATCATTAGGGTAGGAGACCCTGAGGGACAGCTGAGAGAAATGCAGTGTAGCTCCATTCCCCATAAATGAGTAGAGTCTGCTGTGGTACTTTGCTCAGATTCCTTCAAGTCTTACCTGGATTCTTTAGGAACTAGGAGTGGGAATGAGTCTATGTATATATGACCTGTTTGTTGGATCTCGGTAAGCCATGAATGGGTTTCATTCTTTAAATTCAGGTAAACTGTGCATGTAGTGAAACATAGGCCTCTGTTTTGCTGGCAGCGAGGTGCTTCACTGTGAGGAACGTCCTAAACATGGTGTCTGCTGGCCAGGCTGGATGGCTAGAACTTGCTCATCTATTCTTTGTCCTCAGCTGTCCTATGTGATGTCCGGGTACAGATGCTTCGTCTGCCCTGTGGAATACAACAACGACACCAACAGCTTCACGGTGGATTGTGAGCCCTCAGACCTGTTTCGCCTGCAGGAGTACAACATTCCTGGGGTGGTCCAGTCTGTCATTGGCTGGGTATGTGGATGGGGATGAGCAGGTCCTTGGTTGGGTGGTGATTATGAAATGATTCCCTCCTATAAACAAAAATATCAACACTGACTTTCTCCCTCCTCACAGCTGTGAGAGCTAGGATGAAGGATAAGTCGATCCTTTAAAGGGCAGGGTAGGAAGAGCTCCTTCCTTCTACCACATACCCTTCAGACCCATCCTCTCCACAGGTGCTTCATCTGTGGCCTCCCAAAATGCCCTGAAATAGTTTCTGGGGTCTGCAAAAACAATAGTTTCTTACCACCCCTATGACTTTGCATTGCCTTTCCACTTTGTTGGCATTTGCTATGGTGGGTAGCACTATTGACCCCTTAGCAAGAATCAAGGGTGCAGCCCTAGGTTGTGCTGGAAGTCTTCGTCCTTTACACTGGGTTGTGCTGGAAGTCTTCGTCCTTTACACTGGAAGAAATTTTTAAAAGCCCGTTTCACTTAAAGTCCTTGATGACATAGCAAAATTATAATTTTGTTTAATTTTGACCCTTGGGCACACATCTTTTTAATATTCTCTATAACAAAATGGAAAGCTTGCTGCCTGCAAGGACGAGGTTTGCCTGGAGGGAAAGGCACTTGCTTGTTCAGTTTGAATTGTGAGCTGCACTAGTTTGTTTTTGTCTAGATACATAACTAACTTGTAAAGAATTGACAAAACAGACGGGCGTTTGGCAGACATTTTCTTAGGAAATGAACAGAGCAAGCTTGTCACTTCAAGGAAAGCACTGACTAATCATTAGCAGTCATAAATTTGGTTTTCAAGTGAAAATTAAGCTTAAATACTTGTATCTAATGCTATGAGCTTGACAACTTCATAATACATAGACTTTCCTAATGAGATCTATGGGGATAAGATGAATTTTTTTTTGGGTGGGGTGGGGTGACGTATTATATATAGCCATGGACTCCTGGTGTGGTGCCATAGGATCATCACTGGACTGTGTGTGAGCCCCAAGGTCGACAGTTCAAACCCACCAGCTGCTCTTCGGAAATCCTATCCAGGGTTGCTGTGAGTTGGAACTGACTTGATGACATTTAACAACAATAATATAGTCAAAAATGTGTTCATATTTGAAAGATTTAAAGAACTCTGTTGAAGTAGCATGATGTTATACGAGGGGGATTCAGAATTTTGTGGAAAAATCTCTTTTATCTGTGAATTCCATTTTTCAATGAACTTTTTATAGCCCTGCCCTATACTCACACATATTAGATACCTCTTCCCAGTGCTTAATAGTCCAGACGGATTTCATATGGCAGGGTACGAAAAATTGACTGGTAGGGTTCAGATTCCACATGATACCCAAGTGTCAGTAAAGTGCTGCTTGTCAGGGTCTGGTGTGTCCAAGAAGGGTATACACAGTCAGTTCTGGAATCTGTTTTTTTAAACTACATCATCTATGTAAGACTGACTTTTCTTTAACCAAGGTGACATATCCCAGCGTCTTCTGAATGCAGAAGATCTTACTGTCTTCAGTTAAGCCAGACATTTAGAGATTTAAAAAACTGAAATGGGGGAAAAAAAAAAAGTAACACCCACTCCCCACACTATTTGTGTGTGTATGTCTGTGAGAAAGTATCATTGGTGATATATGTTAACAGTAATGAGGCTGGGCTTGTGGGCAGCTAACTTTTACGTTCTTGCATTCTGACAGAAAACGGTCCAGATGTACCCCTTCCAGATTCACAGCATTGCCCTGTCCACCTTTGCCTCGCTCATCGGTCCCTTTGGTGGCTTCTTTGCAAGTGGATTCAAACGAGCCTTTAAAATCAAAGTAGGAAACCCATCTTCTCTGTTTCTTCACTGCCTGTCAGCCAGACTCCTCCCCATCTCACACTCTTCCCTCCCTGGCACCCCATTTTCTGCCTGTTTCCACCAGCCCCACCCTATCAACCAAAACTCTCATGCACTGAATTTAGGCGGATTAAATAAAAATAAGTCATTTCAAAGAAGATTTAATAGTTGGATTTTCATTTTATCTGTTAACTGAGATTTAATAGAGAATTTGGTGTTTGAACACGATTAGTTAGCCTCAGTGTTTGAGTCCATATTTAATTCTCACTTTCTGTGACAGGAGCTGGCTGTTGGGGTGGGGTTTGGTCAGTGATGGCTTCCAGGCTCACGGATGCTCCCCCCTTACTCACAGGACTTTGCCAATACCATTCCTGGCCATGGAGGCATCATGGATCGCTTTGACTGCCAATACCTGATGGCTACCTTTGTCAACGTGTACATTGCCAGCTTTATCAGGTACCTGCCTTTCCATGGGAACCAAGTGGGTGGAGTTGTAAGGATGGTGAGATTCTTCACTTCAAGTGAATGCGGTTTTTAGTAGCGGTTTGTACACTTCTCAGTGACCCCACTGCCCTCAGTTCATTCGGTGGTTGGGGTGGTCGGAGTGGCTCTAGTAGGAGCTGCGCTCTCCAGCTTAGCACTGTCCCTTCACTTTCTGTTCCAGGGGCCCTAACCCGAGTAAGCTGATTCAGCAGTTCCTGACCCTGCGGCCAGACCAGCAGCTCCACATCTTTAACACGCTCAAGTCTCACCTGACGGACAAGGGGATGTTGACAGCCGCCACAGAGGACTAGTAGGGGCTGCCTGGTGGGAGACAGGAGCAGAACTGAGCAAGGGGCAGGTCTTGGGCAAGCCCAGCGGGTGTGTGACTCAGACAATGACAAGGCTTGAACTCACTTTTTTTTTTTATAAATAATTTTTTTTAGAGTTGTTTTCATTGTGAGTTAAAAAAAAATCTGTAGAGCCAGTGTTTATGATTTGGATTGTGAGTAAACTACAGCTTTGAGTTGGAAGGAAGTCACAAGCGTAAACCCAATTGGGTTTTTTTAAACAAAATTATTTAACATTCTGGAAGACAGTGCTGCCCAGCTTGAAAGTATCTGGTTGGTGGTCTTAGCTCCTGTCATTTGAGCTGTCTGTGGGCTTGATCAGAGAGCAATGGGCCTGTGTGTCTGGCTCAGGAGGACCTGACTTACCATCTCTGTGGCTGACCTGCCGGCAGGGAGGAAAAACACACAGCTTGGGTGTCTTTGCTGGACAGGAGAACTTTCACAGAGTGCGTCTTCAGTCTCCCCTGCCTTGGAGCTTTGAGAGGAGGGTTGCCTTCTCCTAGGCTGAAGGGACGCAGGCACATCAATCATAGAAGCATTATATCCTCACCAAAACCCTGCAGAGTGCTGCTCTGCTTCACATAGTTTAACATTACTTCATCACAGACGGAAAGGTTTTAGTTTTTTTTTTTTAAGAAAGTACGCAAAATTATGATAGTCTGGAAAAACAAAACACAAAAAAGCCACACTGTAATGTTTCAGATGTCTGCAGTAGAATGTATTGTAACTGAGCCCCTGCCCCACAGGTTTTAGACTCAAGTGTCTTCTGTCGGGCAGTCCAGTTAACTGTCTTTTCAGGGACGTTGCTGTTCACCTATGTGTTTGTAGACCTGCTGCTGCTGAATCCGTCCCGGGGCCGCTTCATTAGACAGAAAGCAGAGGGAATTAGCTTCTAGTTGTTCATGCAGCCTCTGCCCTTCCACACATGTAGCTGCTGTGTTGTGTATCTACTACTCTTAAGGTGAGTGTGTGTCTATGTGTTTGTTTTAAAAATCACTTATTTCTCACAGTACTTTCAGTTGTGCCATGACTTCAACTGAAACCTCAGACTCCTATTTGAAACAATAGGAAAACTAACCCAATGAGAAGGCTGACTGTTTTGAAGAGTAAATGTGTACTTTTTATACAGTGTGACCAGTGTAAATATAGTTTGCATCTTCCCGAGGGACCTCTTTAAAAAAAAAAACAAACTAATTTTTTTCTGCCCCTGAATCCAGGAGTTGGATTGACTTTGGGGGAAGACCGGTCCTTTATCAGGGCAGCAAGCAATGGAGTGTAGTTGAGAGGACTTGGATCCCAAATATGCTAAATGGTTCTGTGCCATGGTTGTTTTCATTGCCAGCCAGAGGTGTAAAGATTTGCTTCAGCACCTTGTGTATTTCTTTTTTTTTATTTGAAATCAGCCATCCTGATTCCCTGCAGACTCTTAGACCAGACCCCTGAAGTGCTCGGCGATGTTGAACTCACTGTGTGAACATCCAGAATGGAAGCCATTCCTTTCTTCTCCACTTTTATTTCCATTGTAACTGAGTGGCTTTGCTTGTTCAGGTTCAAGGCCCCCTAAAAATAAAACGCGTTGTGTCAAGTGGGGTTTCTGGCCAGGCCTGGTGACTCTTGAAATGACACATTTCTTTCTGAGTCCTCGATGTCTGTAATGTCTTTAGTTCCACTTTTCTGTGACGCTGGCTGAGCAGGTTCATGTTCCTAGTGGCCACTTTGGGTATTGAGCCCTGTCCTGGGCATTGAAAATACCCAAGCGCTTCAAGGCCTTTTCTAAGTGTTTGTCTTTAAGATGACTCAGTATTGCAGCAACACATCCTACAACAGTGAAGGTGATGAGCAACAAAGAGAACTTTTCTACCTGAGGAAAGAACCCAGGCCCCTGATCCAGATAAAGAAGTGCCCCTCATTTGTCCTGTGTTGCCCCATGTGAACGTTTTGTGGGGAGTCTTGGGGCTGGGCCCAGCTTTGAAATCAGGGCGCCTGTGTATGGGTGCAGAGAGGCTCCTGAGGCCATGGAGGTTCTTTTTCTGCGGGTTCCCCCCACGTGTTTTCTGGTAAAGAACGTGAATGTTCTTAGTGTGGTAGTCGGGAGAACACTGCCCCCTTGTGTGTGAATCTTTGTTCTTTCTCCCCTTTACTTGAAAAATGTCACCATACAGACCAGATTGAGAGACGGTTTTAACACACACTCGTGTCAGATATTAATGGGTGGCATAATTTGCTTCATAATTTCCCCCCACTAAATAAAGTGAAACTATTGAAGTGCTCTGTGTGTCCTCCCTTGCTATGGATTCCGTGTGTGCCATTTCCATGCATGGTTTTATGTCTCCACCTATTTATGTATTTGTGAACATTGTATAGTCCTGGTGTAGAGACTTTGTTTGTTTTCCAGTTTGTGCCCTGTACATTCTCACAGCAGTCTTCTGAGTACTCTAGGTGGACATCAGGACTCAGGGATGCGGAGGGGGAGCAGAGAGGAGTGGGTAGGCTTCCCACTTCATGTGGTTGTCCATTTTGGGTCTGCCCACCAGGACAAGGACTTACCTTTGAGACGGAAGGTGGTGTAAGCCAGCCTGAGAGTTTGCAGCGTTCCTTCCCTCACTAGTTGTGCCCGGAGAGCTCGAATGAAATGAGTGAGATATGAGGCATGTCTCCAGAGCTGGCCTCGCCGCCAGGAGCTTGGGTGCTCTCCTGACTGTGCTTAGGGCCACTCCGCAGCTCCAAGGCCTCTCACAGCACCAGTTCTGGTTTGTTCTTGAAGTGGAAATCCTCAAGGGCAACATGAGGCTTATTTATGCCTAGTACTTTGGGTCTCTATTGTATTCTGAACAGTTTAGTAGCTCCAGTGTAACTGCTTTGACAAACACATTGATTCTGTGTGTTGTACAGTTCTACACTGTGTGTTTGAAACTCTCTTTTCAGAAGGGGTGAAATGTAACTTCAACTTAAAACAGGGAGACCTTGGAACCCTTCTTATGGTTATTTTTCCCCACTGGGCTTATTTCCTGTACTTTAACCTAATTTATGGAAGAAAGTTCCAAAGGTGGCTAGTATAAGGGAGACCAAACAGAACTTGTGCTTTGAATGAATGTAACCCATTTGCTGAGTTGACTGGAGTATGATTCTAATGAATCCTGAGGTCAGATCTTTAGAATGCCAGTGAGTTCCCGCCAGGTCAGGGCCTCCTCACTGCTGACCGAGCGGGAAGGGGCAGGTTGTGGAGGACTCAGGGCAGAGGGTGGTGGTGCTTAGGACATTGCCCAGCACAGTGTGTACAGCAGCGGCACTTTCCACAAGAATCCACCCACAGTGGATTCCCAGGGGAGTAGGAGATTTTCATCACTGCCAAACACAGGCCATCAAGGCCCAAATCTCTTCCCATTTTAGTACTATCCAAGGACCACACCTCCGGGGTTCTAGCAGCAGGACTGGAGAGGGAACGGGGAAGATGTCCAGGTGACCGTCATGGACACGTCACGGACGTACCTGTCTGGAGCAGGTGACACAGCAGCCGGAACACAAACTGTCAGGTTCCCCAGGAGAGGGATTGAGCAGAACCTCAGTAGTCTGTTCCTCTTTTTGGTCAGACACACTTTTCCCCTCATCACCCTCTACACCGTTGCCCAGATTGTTGTTGTTAAAGGGATCAAAGCTCCCACTTCCTGACTTGGTTACCCTGTTGGGTGGGTGCTGGGATTTGGACCCAGGGGTGAGGAAAGAACCTTCTCTAAGAGCTCTGCTAGGGTCCCCCCCAAAGGGGACAGAATGTTGTGATTCCATATTAAAGTGTCCTTTCACTATCCCCTCCATCTGGTTGACCAGCAGTTAACTCAGTCACATGGCTCTTAGGGCTGGAAACTTCTGGGGGGCTCCTCTTCACTGAGTAAAGCTCCCACTTATTTGTATGTGTTTGTATATTTTCCTAGGCAGATGGACTTCATTGTGAGGTCGTTTAAGAGGTACAGTTTGGATGACGAAGGGCTGGGGTTTTTAGGACATGGAGGTGATTCATGTGAATAGAGGGCAGCACCTGTGAAGGCAAGGGGTGTTGGCCAGCAGTCTTCATATCTGTTGGATATTTGAAGACCTTATCCCTCCACCAAAAGCCTATCTGCTGAGGCTTCCTCTCTGTATTCCCGTGTATTCATAATGACGGCTGTCATAGTAACAATGCTAATGTGTGTCAGGCGCAGCGCTAAGGGTTCACACACATTATCCCACGAAATCAAGAAAACAGTCAGTGATTAGGCATTATTATCCTGTTTCATGGACGAGGAAGACGTTTGGCATCTTGAATGAGGCTGAGAGCAATAGGTCAGAAGATGGATCTTGGGCCCAAATAGCCGTAGGTCTGACTCCTGCCACGTACACTAACTAGCCTTCTGACCCCGCTGGATTGCCTGGTGGCTCTAAGTCTCTGACTCTGACCCCGCTGAGTCTAATAGTAGTGCTTTCTTCATGGAATTGTGAAGACTTAATGAGATAATGCATGTAAGCATTTAGCCTAGTGCCTGGCACATAGTAAATGGTAGACATTTTTGCTAAATTCAGCTAGCAGTTTGGACCCAGGTTGATATAATGCCAAAGCCAGAGAGCTCTCTTTCACCACATTGCTGCCCACCATGCAGGCAGTGGGGGGGGCGGGGCTCATGGTCTACAAAGGGACCACACTGTTTTGAGAGAAGCCATCCAACCTTCTTCACCTTGCTGACTGTTCATCCAGCCCTGACCCCCTGCTGGTAATTTGCATTTCCTCCCAGATGTACTGATTCAGATTCAACAATTGTAATCTGGTGGGAATAGTTTGCATGAATATGTTGCCCACTTCTGTTGCCCCTGACCCAGACTGCTCACTGAGGAGACCCTCGCCTGCTCCTCCACTCAGGACAGTGAGGGTCTGGTGGTGATCTCTGAGCCTCGCTTCCCCCTTGACTGAGGACATACAGCTTGGTCGGCAGCAC